TTCACACTGCCATATTCTAGATGTTGGTGAAAGAGAAAGAAAGAATAAAGACAGGGACGGGCAGGAGCAGAAGGGCAGACAGACAGAAAATGAGGAGCATGAAGAGACAGGCATGGAGGCAGCATGAGAGCAAAGGAGAGGCCGAGAGGGAGCAGAGAGAGGCGCAGACAGACACAAGACGCAGTGGTAGAAAGGAGAAGGCTGAGGGGAAGAGCCCAGGAAGCATGGGCAGGGGTGGCAGGAAGCTCAGAAGAAAGGTGTTCCTAAGTGAGCCGCAGCCAGCGAGCAGCTGCAGCCCACGCCCCTCCCAACCCTTGCCCCCCTCCCCCCACCCACAGGCTTCGGGGAACACAGTGAGGGGTCCCAGGAGCCTCCACAGGGGCGGGGCGGAGGGCATGAGTGCTGGAGAAGACAGGGTGTCTCCCCCAGAGCTCACCAGCGGAGGGGAAGCCGCCTGAGGGTAAGGGCGAAGGATGACCCAGCATTAAGAGGAGTTCCCTGTGAGAAATCTGCTGAGGCTCAGCAGTGGAGACACCAGGATTTTCCACTCTGCGACAAGCGTCAGAGACCAGCTGAGGGAGACACTGCCTCTGCCCACCGCACCCTGCCTTCCCTCCCACAGATGCTTAGGTGGCTCCAGCAGCATGCCAGGCCCTGTGCTTGTCCAGGAGACAGACCCAGGGGAGCAGGTGCAGCACTCAGGGAGTCCAGGCCGGCAGCGAGAAGGCACGCGGGCAGCAAAGAGACACTGCAAGGTTGGGCAAAGTCCGCGGGCGCTTGGGGGTGAGAGAGGCCATTTCTAGTTTGGAGAAGCAGGCTCTGGAAGAGTGAGCCTTTGAAAAGCAGCTAAAAAAAAGGTGGCACTGGAGAGGTCAAGGGTCAAGAGAGAGGGAGCCCAGCGTGTGAGGCTGCAAGTGACCCCGGCATGGGCTTGTTCTGTGGGAAGGAGCTTGTGGCTCCTCTAACCAGCATGCTGGGTGTTGTTAGCTGACTCAGTGGGAATGGAGAGGCCATACCGTGATTTTAGCAGAGGGATGGCAGGAATCATGCCGAGCCTCAGCCTCAGAATCTGGGTGCTCCTTCCTCTACTTAACTCACTGGGTGAACTTGAACAGCTCATCTGCCTCCCTCCGGTTCAGTTTTCTGTGAAATAGGAAGCTTTAACCAAATTGATATTCACTATGCTGAAACCAAAGAAAACTTTGGAGTCTTTTTTTCCCAGCATATAATCGTGGATAGCCACTGAGTCAGTGAGCTCTGGGCCCCTCCCACCCTGACAATGCAGAGGTTCATGAAAGGGCTGTGCCCCCTCCTTCACCGTGGGCTCCTTCAAACCTGCCCCCTACCTGCAGGCCTGTCTGGTTCCTCCCTGCTCATCACAAGGTCTGGGTATAATCTGCTCAAATTTCCCCAGGCAGCTGCGATTGCCCAGGAAGACACATCCTTCCTGCCACAGTCAAACAGGTGCAATAGACAGCAGCAATCACACGCCTCAGGCGACGCCAATGAAACAGTTGTTCAATGCTCAGCACAGGTTCTCAGACCCTTACACCTGATCATTCATTTAATCCTCGCCAGAATCCTCTGAGGTGGGTGATAGAATTGCCCCTCTCTCTAAATGATTAAGGGGGAGCTGGGAAGAGTTTATCTATAAAAGGACACAGAAGCAGCAAACTTCCTGGAATAAGCCACCTTGAATTTGCCTTGAAAGAGCATTTGCCAGTTGAGTGCTCTGATTTTACTTAGTATGTTTAAGATCGATAAAAGTGGATTATTTGGGAAAAACAATAATCCAGACCATGCAATATTTGTTTGTTTGTTTTTGTTTGCTTGTTTTTGAGACAAATTGTTTGTTTCTTTTTGAGATGGAGTTTCACTCCATTGTCCAGGCTGGAGGGCTGTGGCACAATCCCAGCTCACTGCAAACCACCTCCCGGGTCCAAGCAATTCTCCAGTCTCGGCCTCCTGAGCAGCTGGGACTACAGGCTCCTGTCACCACACCCGGCTAATTTTTGTATTTTTAGAAGAGACGAGGTTTCCCTTTCCCCTTGTTGGTCAGGCTGGTCTCGAACTCCTGACCTCAGGTGATCCACCCACCTTGGTCTTCAAAGTGCTGGGATTACAGGTGTGAGCCACTGCACCCAGCCAATATTGTTGTTTTGAGGCCTTCATGAGTGCTGATAGAGATGGGGAGTCTACAGTCCCTTCCAAAGTCCATAAGGGATGGGAGTTGGGGAGGGAGGCCAACGAGTTCCTGAGGCCTGGGAATGGTGTTTAAATCAAAAGGAGGAGGCCCTCTATTTTGGAGGATCATAAGGAAGGCCAAGAAATTATAAGGACACCTTTTTCATGAAATTATTTCTCAGCATCTCAGTCTACCCCTTTGGCTGCTTCCTGCATGCAGGGGTGTTAAACTCACCCCTGCTGGGGAAGGTTCCTCTAGGAAGCCTGTGCCTACAGCCCCCCACCCCTCCACAAGAAGAAGGGGGCTGGCAGGAGTGTCACTTTTTACTGCAGGAGGAAGACCGCTCACTACAGGAGCTCTCCTGAAGCCACCTGCCTCTGGTTGTATAAATGGGGCAAGGGCTCTGAGTCTCCCTGAGCTCATGTGACGTCTAGACAAACCATTCTTCCCCTGCTTACGTACCCAGGATGCCATAGAGCAAATAACGAAGGGACGGAATCAATCTACTGAGATCAGAGGCACAGTTTTGAAAGCACAGAGCCGTATACAGGTGAGGCTGTTAATGCCCTCCTTGAAAGATGTGAAACACTCTAGAGGCAAAGACACAGTATCAATACCCAAAACATGTACAGGGGGAAGAAAGCCCGTCTTTCTAGCTCCTTTTATTTACACCTCCCCTTCTTCCTCCTTCCCTCTGTAAACTAAAAATAAAATTTGAATCCCCTCAACTGACTGACAGACCCCCATCTTGGCCAAGGGTTTTCCAAAGTAAACCCGAAAATCTATTCCCAGCCATGTTGGGAAGTAAGGGTTGGACCTGGCTCATTGTACCCTCCTCCCTTTGGAATTCAAGCACGACCAGTCAGCATTAACATTAAAACAGAGATCTTAAGACTGGCCAAACAGACTGTTGCAATAAGACACCAACATGACAGGTGGCAGGCCCTGAAAGAAATGCAAGTATTTTACCCCAAATATATTTGTTTGACGTATTTTGAAATGGTCCTGTGATGCTGTCTCTCGTGGGAATATTCCCATTCTGTAGAGAATTCCCTTCCCTCCCCAGGTCTTTTCGCTGATCCGGGAGAGAACTGACTTAGAGTCTGGCACATTTTAGGTCTGATAAGAGCTCTGAAGCCTGCTACCTGGAGGCTTCATGTGCATGACCGTGGTCTCCACAACACCTCCCCACCTTCTCCCCAACTTCCTCCCCC